GTTTAGAAATTAGGGTTTAGGGTTTAGGAATTAGGGTTTAGGGTTTAGGGTTTAATAAGGCTTCCTTGCCTCGCGGTAGGCTGAGCGCTTTTGCTGCTGCAGAAACCTTCCCAGGTATGCAGCAGCAGCAGCAGCAGCAGCCGCAACAGCAGCAGCTCCAGCAGCAGCAGCTGCTGCACGGTGGCGGCGTAGCACCCTACCCAGATGCTTAGCAGCAGCACCAGCAGCAGCAGCAGCTGCTGCTGCTGCTGCATTCAGAGCTGCTGTGTGTCTCTTTACAGTAGGTGTAGGCAGCCTCCTGCAGCAGCAAATCCACACATATAATCTAGAAGCTAGGGTTTAGGGTTTAGGGTTTAGGGTTTAGGGTTTGGGGGAATGCTTGGCTTACCTAGCTGAGAAGCGGGCCGCCGCAAGCGCCTGCATGCTGCCTCGGGCTTTGCTGCTGCTGCTGCTGCTGTTGCTGCTGCTGCAGCTGTTAGGGCGCAGCCCCAACTTCCTGTTCAAGCCATTGCTGCTGCTGCTGCTGCTGCTGACTGCAGCACTGAGGAACGATAGCTTGCCCCTTCCAACAGCAGCGCAGCAAGCAGCAGCAGGCTCATATCGAGGAAGCAGCAGCAGGGCAGCCTTGTTGCTGCTGCTGTTGCTGCTGCTGCTATTACCAGGCCACAGCGATAACGGCTGCATGCGGCTTAACAGCAGCGCGAAGCTCCCGTAGCTGCTGCTGCTGCTGCTGCTGATGCTGCTGTTGATGCTGCTTCCTACATGCAAGCCTTCAGCGTTGCTGATCGCAATGAGTCGCAGCAGCAGCAGCAGCAACACCAGCGGCCGGAGCAGGACCAGCAGCTGCTGCTGCTGCAGCAGCTGCAGCCGAGGCATGCTGGTCCCCATGGTGTACTTTAGCTTTGCTGCTTTTGCTGCTTCCTCCTATGCAGCAGCCGCTGCAGCAGCTGCAGCATTCGCGTAGTCCTAGCTCTTTGCTGCTGCTGTTGTTGTTGCGGCTGTAGTTGCTGCTGTGCCTGCTGCTCCTGCTGCTGCTGCTGTTGCTGCGGCACTACACTTCCTTTGCAGTGGTGCTGAGCTCCAGGGCATTAGGAACAGCAGCAGCAGCAGCAGCAGCTGCTGCTGCTGCTGCTACAGCAAAGACACGTGCTGCTGAGGAGCGGGAGTTCAACAGGCTGCTGCAGCAGCTGCAGCAGCAGCCGCAGCAGCAGCAGTAACAGCAGCAGTAACGGCTCCTGTTGCTCCTACTGCCTGTTATGAGAATAATATGGAGTGTAGAAACAATGTTTTCAAGCTGTCGTTGCTTTGCTGCCGTGTCTCGTCTGCTGCTGCTGCTGCTGCTGCTGCTGCTGGCGAGCTGTGTGTACACCTCAGCAGCAGCAAACGGAAGCCGAAAAGAAGAAGCCCCAGACGCTCCTCACAACAGAAAGAAAAATAGCATAATAAGTTAACAATCGAGGGCAAAAGAACAGCAGCAGCAGTAGCTGCTGCTGCTGCTGCTGCTGCAGCACAGCCACAGCTGCTGCCGACGCAGCCCCACAGCAACAGCAGCAGCAACAACAACAACAACAGCATTGAAATCTTTAAAAATTTGTTGGATTCCTTCTCATTTTAAATATCTTTTTGTTCATTCTAGTGAGGCAGCAGCAGCTGCTGCTGCCTCACGTATAATATCGATGTTGTTGCTGCCGCTGCAGCAGCAGCAGCAGTGAAGACCGATGCCTGCTACGCCAGCAGCAGCAGCAGCAGTAGCTGGTGCAGCAGCAGCAGCAGCTGCTGCTGCTGCTGCGCCCCGTTAGGCTAGGGCAACAGCATTACAGGGGTCTTCCTCGTGCCTGAAAGCCATTCCAGCAGCAGCAGCAGCAGCAGCAGAAGCCGCAGCAGCAGAAGCCGCAGCATTAGAGGCAGCACCAGCAGAGGCGACACCAGCAGTGGCGGCAGAAGCTGTGGCGGCAGCAGCAGTGGCAGCAGCAACAACTGCGGCAGCAGCAGCAGCAGCAGCTAGGCTTCTCCGTGCTCAGCGTCGGCGCAGCCCGTAACTGCAGCAGCAACAACTGCAGCAGCAACAACTGCAGCAGCAACAACTGCAGCAGCAACAACTGCGCAGTAACAACCGTAGCAGCAACAACTGCGGCAGTAACAAGTACAGCAGCAACAACTGCAGCAGCCTCAACAACAACAGCCGCAGCCGCAGCAGCAGCACCAGCAGCAGCAGCACCAGCAGCAAAGATGAGTTTGGAGTCCCTGCGGCGTCGCTTTGTAGATCTTTACAAGCTGCTGAACGTACACCCCAACGCAGGCGACTTGGAGATTAAATATAAATTTGCTGCTGCAGCAAAGGCTTCTCACCCTGACTGTGCGTTCTCTTCTGCTGCTGCTGCTGCTGCTGCTGTTGGTGTTGTTGCTGTTGTTGGCGTACCTTTATCTCCTCCTGCTGCATCTGCTGCTGTTAGCTCAACCTCTGTTGCTATTGCAGCAGCTGCTGCTGCTGTTGCTGCTGCTGTTGCTGCTGCTGCTGCCCAGCTGAACGGTGTTGCAGCAGCTGCTTCAGGAAGACGTCTGTGGTGCCTGCTGCTGCTCCTATTAACACTGCTGCTGTTGCTGCTGCTGCTGCTGCTGCTGCTGCAGGTGGAGGCGACGCTTCCCGCTTCCAGGCTGTCACCGAGGCCTACAAAATCCTCAGCACACAAAGAGCAGCCTACGATGCTTTATATAGAGCTAGAAAGGGCAGCAGCAGCAGCAGCAGCAGCAGCAACAGCGGCAGCAGCAGCAGCAGCAGCAGTTGGTTTGCAGACTCCACGTGGAGATGCAGCAGCAACGACAGCCGATTTGACGCCGATGCAAATTTCTGGGGGAGCTTCATGCGCATGCAGCAGCAGCAGCGGCAGCAGCAGCAGCAGCAGCAGCAGGAACAGCAGCAGCGGGACCCCTTTGGCAGCAACTTCGAAGACACAAGGTAAGCACACAACACGCATGCAACCCGCAGCAGCAGCAGCAGCAGCAGCACCAGCTTTTTGCAGCATCTGGAAGGCAGCAGATGATGCATGGATGATGCTGCTGCTGTTGTTGTTGTTGTTGTTGCTGCTGCTGCTGCAGCTTCTGGAGGCGCCCCCCGCGTGCATATGGTTCTCGCTGCGCAAAAACAAAGAAAAGCCGCAGCGAGAAGGCAGCAGCAGCAGCTGCTGCAGCTGCTGCTGCACGAGCAGCAGCAGCAGCTGCTGCTGCAGAAGCAGCTGCTGGAGCTAGACGAGATTGCAGCAGCAGCAGCAGCAGCAGCAGCAAACACTCTCCACGCCGCCGCCAGCAGCAACAGCAGTGGAGGTTTGTTGATGTCTTTGTACTTGAGGACGACGAAATCAGCAGCAGCAGCAGCAGCAGTAGCAGCAGAAGCAGCAGCTACCTGAAGAAGAAGAAGCGGCACTCGCAGCGGGGATCTAAGCCGAGAGAAGACAGCAAAGAAAACAACAGCAGCAACAGCAGCAGGAATAGCAGCAGCAGCAGATGCAGCAGCAACTGTAGCAACAGCCACAACAGGACCAACGGCAACAATCGCGATCCCAGCAACAGTAGCAGCACCAACAGCAGCAACGACAGCAGCAGCAACAACAACAGCAGCAGCAACAACAACAACAGCAGCAGCAATGACAGCAGCAGCAGCAGCAGCAATAGCAGCAACAGCTGCAGCGAAGGCGGAGCCGTAGAACCTGCAGCAGATTTTACATCGACTAGCACAGGCGCAAACACCCCATCAGCAGCAGCAGCAGCAGCAGCAGCAACAGCAACACCAGCAGCAGAAGCAGCAGAGTCACGGCCAGCAGCAGAAGCGGAAGCAGCTTCACAAGCAGCAGCAGCAGCAGCGGCGCGTGCTGCAGCAGCAGCTAAAGCTGCTGCTGCAGCACGCGCCAAGTTTTTTGATACCGACGAAGAGAGTGATGCAGAGACGGATGAACAGCAGCAGCAGCAGCAGCAGCAGCAGCAGCAGCAGCGGCAGAAACGGCAGCAGCGGAAGCAGCGGCCTTCCTGCCAGGACTCCGAAGGCTTCGCCTGTAACAACAACAGCAGCAGCAGCAGCAGTAGCAGCAGCAGCGACAGCAGCAGCAGTAACCAAAGCACTACGAGCCGCCGCGGCAGCCGCAGCAGCAGCAGCAGCAGCAGCAGCAGCAGCAGCAGCAAGAGGGCGAGTATCTACACGGTTGCTTCTTTGCCTGCTGCTGCAGTGTCTGTGCCTTCTATGAGCCTCAGCCAAAAGGAAGGCAATCGCGTGGAGCCCGTTCTCTTCTTTCAACTTAAAGCTGCTAACAGATGGTCTGCTGCTGCTGCTGCTGCTGCTGGTTCTGCTGCTGCTGCCGCTGGTGCTGCTGCTGTTTCTGCTGCTGGTTCTGACTCTGCTGCTGGGTCTGCTGCTGCTGCTGCTGGTGCTTCTGCTGCTTCTCCATCTGCGGTTGGTGCTACTGCTGTTGGTGCTGCTGCTGCTGCTGCTGTTGTTGCTGCTGATAGCTGCTGCGCACCAGCGAGGTTGGCGATGTGTTGCTGCTCCCCTGCTGCAGCGCAGGATCAGCAGCAACAGCAGTATCAGCAGCAGCAAGAACAGCAGCAGAGCAGCACGACCAGCACCAGCAGCACCCCTAGCATCAGCAGCAGCAGCAACAGCAGCAGCAGCAGCAGCAGTGTTGTTTGTGGCTTGTGCTGCTTGTGTTTAGGCTGGAGTTATACGGCGACAGCAGCAGACAGTACGGCATATTTAAAAGCGGTTTGCTGCACTCTTTAGCCCTCCCTCTAACAAAAACAAAAAAACAATATACACCTCACCGCCGCTAGCAGCTGCAGCAGCAGCTGCAGCAGCAGCTGCAGCTGCAGCAGCAGCTGCAGCGACGAGACATCCATGCCTTGCTGCTGCAGCAGCAGCAGCAGCAGCAGCATTATTTTAGCAGTGCAGCCGCACCTTTCTGCTGCTGCGCTGCAGACAGACAGGTCCTCAACTTCATCAATACAATTCCTAGGGTTTAGGGTTTGGGGTATTATGGTGCTGCTGCTTAGGGTTTAGGGTTTAGGGTTTAGGGTTTAGGGTTTGGTGCTCAGACACAACAGACTTAAAGACAGTCCTCAGCTGTATGTATACCCCAGCCGCGAAACAATTTGCTGCTATCCTGCTCGCTGCTGCTGCCGCTGCTGCTAAGCTCATCCAGCAGCAGCACAAACGGCCGCAGCACGGTCTGCAGCGTGTCGGGCACTGCGCTGCTGCTGCTGCTGCTGTTGCTCCTGCTGCTGCTGGTGTTGCTGCTGCTGCTGGTAAGGAGGGAGACAGCTGGCGCTGCTGCAGTTGCTGCTGCACTTGCTGCAGCAAGAGAGGGGATTTTATCACCCCACACTGACAGTCGTAGCAGCTTCAGTCTCTGCTGCAGCTCCCTGTGCTGCTGCTGCTGCTGCTGCTGCTGCTTCTGCTGCAGCACAGCAAGCAGCAAAGGCTGCAAGAAGAAGCAGTACAGGGCGACTGCACTGCAACGGAGCCCCTCAGTAGAAATGCCATAGAGGACCTCTCCGCTGCTGCTGCTGCTGCTGCTGCTGCTGTTGCTGTTGCTGCTGTTGCTGCTGCTGCTGTTACTTAGGGTCGCTGCCTCTGCTGCTGTAAGCAGCGCGGAGCCCTCAGCGCCCAAAAACTGCAGCAGCATCTCCTGCAGCTGTTCTCCCTGGTGCTGCAGCAGCTCGCGCTGCTTCTGCTGCTGCTGTTGCTGCTGCTGCCACAAGATGGTGGCATTCAAGAGCGCAATGCCTGTGGGGCAGCAGCAGTCTGCTGCTGCTGCTGCTGCTGCTACAGACGTATCTTTCAACAGGAGCCCCCGTTCTAGTAGCAGCAGCAACCCGCCGAGCACCTGCTGTTGCTGTACCTGCTGCTGCTGCTGCTGCTGCTGCTGCTGCTGCTGCTGCTGCACGCAGAGTATTCCAATGAGGTCCGCCAGCAGCCACCAGCAGCAGCACCAGGGATTGGCTGTTCCTGCTGCTGCTGCAGGCTGAAGCCCCGCAGCAGCAAAGCTGCTAATTGCTGCTGCTGCTGCATCTTCCTCCCCTCTGCACAATGCCCTGACCAAAGCATCTGCTGCAATGTCTAGCTGCTGGTGCTGCTGCTGTTGCTGCTGGTGCTGCTGTTGCTGCTGCTGCTGATCGGCTGTATCATCTAAGCCCTCAAACTGAAGCAACCTGATGAGAGCGGCTTGAAAAGCAGCAGCAACAGCAACAGCAACATTGTTTGCTGCTGCTGCTGCTGTTGCTGCTGCAGAGAGGCGTGGGGTTTGCGGTGCTGTATACAGAGCGAGGGTCTCTGTCACTGCTTGCTGCAGCAGCAGGTCATCCTCCTCTCCTGTGCTGCTGCTTCTGCTGCTGCTGCTGCTGCGGGTGGCCACGTTGCGTCTGCTGCTGCTGATGCTGTTGCTGCTGCTGCTGCAGCGCCTCAGCTGTTGCATGTGCTGCGGCAGCAGCACCGCATCCTTCCACCTGCGCAGCACTTGTGCTAGAGCGCCCATCGGGTCCTTGCTGCTGCTGCTGCTGCCGCCGCTGCTGCTGTTGCTGCTGCTGCTGCTGATACTGCTGCTGCTGATGGCAGCAGCAAGGATTAGGGTTGCTGCGCTGCGGCTGCATGCATCATCATCCGCTACAATCAACACAGACCCCGAGCAAAAACTGCTGCTGTTGCTGCTGCTGCTGTTGCTGCAGCTGCAGCCAGTGGCGCCCAGTCGCTGCAGCACCTGCTGCAGCATATCATTAACATCGATAGAGTACCGCAGCAGCGCAGCAGCAGCAGCAGGGGAGGCGGAAGCAGCAGCAGCAGCTGCTGCTGGGCGCCATACAGAGGGCCTTTCAACCGACGCGTTGCTGCAGCGGGTGCAGCAGCAGAGAGGTCCAGCAGATGTTTTATTTGCAGCCGCCGAAGTACGTTGCTGCAAGTTGCATGCAGCGGCTTCCCCACAAACAACCCTTTGAAAGGCACTGCTGCTGCTGCTGCTGCTGCTGCTGTTGCTGCTGCTGCTGGTTCTGCTGCTGGTGGGCCTCGAAGGATTTCCTGGGGGTAACTCATTAGTGCTGCTGCTGCTGCTGCATGCATCCGCTCTGCTGCTGCTGCTTCTGCTGCACTGCTGAGGCAAAGGAAGCCATAGTCTAAACAAAACCCGACAAAACCCTGCGGTATACACCGCAGCTCCAGCAGCAGCTGCTGCTGCTGCAGCAGCCGCAGCAGCTGGTACACCCTGCTGTAGCTGCTGCTGCTGTTGCTGCTGCTGCTGCTGCTGCCCGGCTGCTGCTCAGGTGCTGCCAAGAGGCGCCGCGTTGCCTCTTCATCCTCTGCATAAGCAATTACACGCACTCGCTGCTGCTGCTGCTGCTTCTGCTGCTGCTGCTTCTGCTGCTTCTGCTGCTGCAGCAAAAGAAGCTGCTGCAGAAGCGTCTGTGCATGCGTTGCCTGGGCTATGTGGCAGTTGTTGAAGGCATCCGCGCTGCGGAGGTCTAGCAGCAGAAGTTGCTGCTGCTGTTGTTGTTGCTGCTGCTGCTGCAACTGCTGCAGCAACTGGTGCTGCTGAATCGGCTTCTGCGTCTGCAGCAAATTAAATACAAATGAAGTGCTGCAGCTTGACCACTGCAGCGGGGCATTTTGTTCGTCGTTGGTGCTGCTGTTGCTGCTGCTGCTGTTGCTGGTACTGCTGCTGCTGCTGCTGCTGTTGCTGCTGCTGCTGTTGCTGCTGCTGCTGTTGCTGCTGCTGCTGTTGCTGCTCACTGGATTCCTGCTGCAGCAGGTGGCCGCGCTGCTGCTGTTGCTGCTTCCTGCTGGCAAGCCGACTCCGTCAGGACACTGCTCCTCTTGTTGTTGCTGCTGCTGTTTCTGCTGCTGTTGCTGTTGCTGTTGCTGCTGCTGATTCTTCTTTTGCTGCTGCTGCTGCAGCTGCTGCCTGCGAGCAGCTCGCGCTTCAGCAAGAAGAGCCGCAAAGTCTATTGGCTGCATCACCACCCGCCTGCTGCTGCTGTTGCTGTTGCTGCAGCTGTTGCTGCTGCTGCTGCTGCTGCTTCCTAAGAAGGACGGAGCAGCTACGCTGCTGCTGCTGCTGCAGTGTTGCCGGGGTTTCTGTCTCTTTACCCCCGTATTAACTATGATAGAGAGACAAAACAAAGCAATTTCAATGTTGGCGCTGCTGCTGCTGCCGCTGCTGCATGCAGCAGCAGCAGCAGCAGCAGGGACACTCCAACAAGATGCTGTCGGCAGCAGGTGTGGCAGCAGCAGCAGCAGCAGTACGTGAGTTGTTTAGCGCTTTAATAAAATAATTTTTGTTTGCAGCTGAGAGACAGTAAATAATTTAAACGAAGACAAACAAATGCTGCTCTTGTTGCGGCTGTGGGGCCCTGCTGCTGCTGCTGCTGCTGCTGCTGTCGCTGCTGTGACTCCTGCTGCTGCTGCTGCTGCTGCTGCATTCCCGTGTTAAGCTGAAAGTACAACTTTCTGCTGCTGTTTCCGTGGCTATTTTCTTCGTTGCTGCGTCTGCTGCTGCAGTTGCTGCAGTTGCTGCTGTTGCTGTCTGGGCAGCCTAATCGCTGCTGCTGACTCTCCTCTTTTGCCTCCCCTTGAGGGTTTAGGGTTTAGGGTTTTAGGGTTTAGGGTTTAGGGTTTTAGGGTTTAGGGTGTGCAATGAACTGCCGCGGCTGCAAGCCTTCCGAAGAACAGCAGCAGCAGCAGCAGCAGCAGCACTGCGGCAGCAGCATGGAGGCTGCAGCACCGTCCGGTGCCATACGTAAGAGTTAGCTTCCTCTGCTGCTGCTGTTGTTGCTGCTTCATCTCAGTATCCATAGGGCCAGCACCAGCAAATGCAGCAGCAGCAGCAGCAGCAGCACTGAAGAGGGCTTCTGCTCCGCAGCAGTTGCCTCTGTCTAGATTGGGGTGTATGCGCACCGAGCGGTGGGTAGTTTAGGGTTCGCTAGGGTTAAGGGTTTGCTAGGGTTTAGGGTTTGCTAGGGTTTAGGGTTTGCTAGGGTTTAGGGTTTGCTAGGGTTTAGGGTTTGCCTGTCTAGCGGCTGCAGCGTCGTGAATCTAATTAAAACCCCTTTAAAAAAATAAAGCATTTGCTGTAGCTGCTGCAGCAGCAGTACTGCAGCAGCTGTTACTGCTGCTGCAGCAAAGGCAGCAATAGCTGCAGTAGGAATAGAAGCAATCGCTGCTGCTGCAGCAGCAGCAGCTGGTTTAATTGCTGCTGTATAAACATAATTAATTAAGTATGTCGGGGAACAGCGAGAGCAGGTGCTGCAGCACTTGCTGCTGCTGATGCTGCAAGTCTTCAAGAGAGGGTATAGCTGGAGCAGCAGCAGCAGCACCAGGAGCAGCAGACGAACCGGGCTGGGGCAGCAGCTCTCTGAATAGCTTGCTTAGCTGCTGCAGCAGCTGCAGCGCTTCTTCTTCAAGCTTGCTGTACTCCTCAGCAAATCTCTGACCTATCTGCTGCAGGGTATTAAGCTCACCCTTGGCTAGCTGCTCTCCTTTAGCTAGCTGCTGCAGCGATTGAAGCTTGGTTGTAAGCAGGGTTTGCTGCTGCAGCACATTCTTTAGAGCAGCACCAACCCGTGCTGCTTCTGCTGCAGCTTCCTGTGGCAGCAGCAAACCCTGAAACGCCTGCAGCAGCTGCCGCAGCAGCAGCACCAAATGCGTTACAGTGTCTTCAACCAAAGGCAGCTGCTGCAGCCCTAACTCATTCATAAACCCTGTTAAATAGCTCTCAATACCTTCAGGAGATAAATCTAAAGAGGGCAGGCTGACTGCAGCAGCAGCATCTGATTCTGCTGCTCCTGCTGCTGGGCTTGATGCTCCTGCTGCTGCACCGGATTCTGCTGCTGCTGGAGCAGACGGAGCAGCAGCAGCAGATGATGAGATCGGTGCTGCTCCTGACCCTGCTGCTGCTGTTGTTGTTGCTGCTGCTGCTGCTGCTGCATGCACATCAGGAGAAGCAAATAGACTAACCAAGCCAGCAGAGAG